AGTAATCTGATTACGTAACTCGCGTTACTTGTAATATATTACCCCCAACACTGTCTGAGGATGAGGAAATTTCTGCAGATTTTCATTTTTGGCTGAACTAGTGCTTTAATACGTGTTTGTGGTCTTATCGTGAGCGATGTTCTTCTAAAGAGAAAACTGATGGATGCAGGATAAATCCGTCGGCTTACTCTTCTCTCCGCTGTCCCCCCATCGTTTGAAATAGTCTTTAGTTTCCTCTTCGATTATTTCAACGTGTCGTTTGAACTGTGCGATGTTCAGCCCCGTCTTCAGCATTTTCTTCTGCTCCAGAAATAACTGAACGAACACAAATCAAATCAAAAATGTAGCTTTTGGGGTCAAAAACAAAGACATATCAACTACACAACCACTGCATTATCTAGCAGGACTTTCCATGCTCTGCAATCCTCTGTTATTTATTTCCAGACTTTTTTGTAGACTCCAGCAGAAGTGCGTGATCTTACAGGATTGGGCACGTCGTACGCGACTCCCTTTCCGAACACTGGTGTGGTGAGGCGTGCGTAAACGTCCTCCGCGTTCAGATCTTCATTCTTGCTGTTGAACATGAGCGCGGCCGCGTCGCTTCCCAGCAGATACGTGAAGGTTTTCCCAACCATCGTGAAGCTGACCACAGGCCCGTACTACGAGACAACGACATCAACACTGACATGAGCTCGGATCGGCGGCCTGTTACTCCAAACCTGCGTCTGAATGACTCTCACCTTCTCGTAGGCCTGCTCCAGAAACTCAATGGGACTCCTGCCGAAAGCCACGGCGTGACCGAGGAAAGGAATACTGGACGGGATATGAGGAGGATATTTCTGAGGAAACCAGAGGAAATTAATGTTTATAAGTGACGATCATAGAACAACAGATACAACGAGGGATGGATAAAAAGAATGACAGATTGAAAGATAGACAGAACCAGGGATACACCGCTAACAAAGAACGTTCTGTTGTGAGCAAACGTTCTTCCAGTAACATTAATAGAACGTTTGTTCAAAGTTATCTGGTCTCAAAACGTTAGAATAAAAACATTATCATTCATGGAAAGTTTTTTTTTTTTCTTTAAATGTTTTTTTGTTGTTGTTTTTTTTTACTACGTTCAGAGAACATTCAAAAGTAGCATTCCCACACTGTTTACAGAACGATCAAACGGAATGTTCCATTAACATTCACATGTAACATTTTTAAATATTTAAAAAAAACTGGATGTTTTGTACCTTCAGAGAACATTGGCAAAATGTTATTAGAATATATTTGTTAACTTGGATAGAACAATGGATAGAACATTAGTCAGATAAGTCAGACAGACAGACAGACGGATAGACAGACAGACGGATGGATAGACAGACAGACAGACTGATAGATAGACGGATGGATAGACAGACAGACAGATGGATAGATAGACAGACGGATGGATAGACAGACAGACGGATGGATAGACAGACAGACGGATGGATAGACAGACAGACGGATGGATAGACAGACAGACAGACAGACTGATAGATAGACGGATGGATAGACAGACAGACAGACAGATGGATAGATAGACAGACGGATGGATAGACAGACGGATGGATAGACAGACAGACAGACAGACTGATAGATAGACGGATGGATAGACAGACAGACAGACGGATGGATAGACAGACAGACAGATGGATAGATAGATAGACGGATAGATGGATAGATATATAGACAGACGCATAGATAGATAGATAGATAGAAGACGGATGGATAGACAGACAGACGGATAGATAGATGGATGGATAGACAGACAGACAGATGGATAGATATACAGATATAGACAGACGCATAGATAGAAAGATCGATAGACAGATAGATAGATAGATAGATAGATAGACAGACGGACAGATCGATGGACGGATAGACGGATGGATAGACAGACAGATAGACAGACAGACGGATAGATAGACGGATGGATAGACAGACGGATAGATAGACGGATGGATAGACAGACAGACGGATAGATAGATGGATGGATAGACAGACAGACAGATGGATAGATATACAGATATAGACAGACGCATAGATAGAAAGATCGATAGACAGATAGATAGATAGATAGATAGATAGACAGACAGACAGACAGACAGAACAAAGTATAGAAAGATGGAGAGATGACATTGACTTCTATTTACTTTAATTCCACATCACACACTAGCCAGCACTCTTACTACAGTCCCAATGATCTCAACACTAGACCTGATAATTACTCATGCAAGTAGATTAAATGATTTTCATGCACGCAGATTTACAAGCAGTTCCTGAACTTTAGGTAATATCGTGCACTCACTTCATCTCCAGCGTGCTGCTGCTGCTGTGTGAACAGGAGTTTGCTCAGGTATCCCAGAGTGAGTGTGAGCACAGAAGCGGCGAGCAGCACTGAGGTCAGACTCATCTTCTGCACGGTGTTCTCGAGCAGAT